AGTGGGATACTTTCCATTTACCACAGTACACTGAGAGGGTCTGGGACTTCATGGAGTACTTAGGAAAGGTAGTGCTTAAACTCCACTCCAAAAGAAGAAAGGTTGTATGGACAGCATAAAGAATCTGAAAAAAAGTTGTCACATACTATGGGACTGTGACAATATTTGGTGCAGAGAGTCTTTAATGAATACCTGCCCTAGAACTTTCTTTTACCAGAAGGAAACACAAGTTGAATTAGGACAGGGTTCTGATACTGAGTTGGAAAATATGTTTGCAAGCTGAATTGACTAGAGAAGGTTCTGCATGGGAGATCCCAGGTGAGGAGAGCAGTGGATCTTCTGTTCAGATGTTCTCATATAAACATCACGATGAAGACATTAGCACAGACTGTAACGTGGTGGGAAGGTGAATTATTCAGGGTCTGGATCCTCCTGCAGAAGCCAGGCTGAGATGGATGATTATTCAGAAAGTAATACAGTAGGGCTCTCAGGGTGAGTATGTATGCAGAGATGCTGGTTGAACATGATTATAAATTTCAAGTATATTTTCAGAAATTGGCTGCCTGTCTTTTGCTGTTGAACTTTCTTACTATTTTTCTGCTACTTGGTGACTTTTAAAGGTTTTCCAACAAAGAAGAGAGCATGAACATTCAGCCCACACTCCGCATCATCTGTCCCTGTTATGTCTGTGCTATTAAGTTTTAATATATTTGTCTACCTACTCCTACAAAAGTTATACTCAGGTTTCTTAAATAAAACAGGATGGGGAAAATGATCCAAAGGGGATGACCCAGAGTTGTCTTCCTGTTTTGTTTCATTTTTTCTACTGAACAGTAAACCAGGGTAAGAACTGGACATACTGAAGAGTTGTGACAGTTGTTTTATTGATGGGAATATTGCTTGTCTCTGAAAGAACTTGCTCATTCATTGCAGAAGACATGGAGCAAAGTAAGAGAGGATGGGAGCCATTAAGCTGAATACTAGCTCTAGACAAGAGTAGCTTAAGACAGTGTTTTAGAAGAAACTTTTTATACAAATACACATATATACTGCAATTTTCTTTCTGTTTATTACTGCTATCTTTGCCTTAGCCCTATCTGAAATAATATAGGAAAAATACAAGTCACAAAGACATTCTTCCATGGAGTATGTGGGCAGAAGTATGCAAAAGGAAGCAGCAGCTGGGATAAAAAAGAAGGCAGCAGCACTGCAATTATTGTGTAAGAGGCCAGGGAGTCATTGACTTAGGAAATTACTGTAACATCAAACTCAGTGTGATGGCTTAAAAGCCTTTTTTCCTTGGGAAGCTCTACCAAATCTACACTCACAATAAGACTTCTGACTTTGAGGCACTTGCTAATGCTAAGATGATGTCACTGCTCTGCGCATGTGTGTGTTTGTACCATGGCTTTCTTTCACTGAGAGTCACTTCTTCACACAGAATAGCTCCTAATATAACCCTTGATGGCTATAGAATGATATAACTAGGCTTCAGAAATTTCAAAGCTCTTAATTAGTGCTTCTGTCTAGCCATGGAAATACACTCTTTAAAGCAGGGCTGGGAAATATTTTCCTGAATGGAAACCAAACAGGTATTTCAACTACCTTTCTGCAGACCAACCATAAGGCTACATCTCAGTCTTATTTCCCCATTCCATACAGCTCTCCATGTTACACTGTGATCTTGCATTGCCTATAGCCCTGTTGTGCCTTGGCCTTCCAGCCTCCTGTCTCCAGAATCCAGGCAGCACACAGCACAAGCTCAGAGTGCCAGGACCAGCACACTGCCTGGGGTTTTGCCACTGCACCAGGATCCTTCCACATCCCACAGCAAGCAGCCCCATACCACCACCATCAAACACACCAACACTGTTGTGCCCCTCCCAGTACTTAGGCTTCCCTAAGGACTGCCCACAGCATCTCTTAAACATTGATCAAGCCCTATGCAAGACACACAGGATGGGTTTGGAAGATCAACTTCACAAATAAAATGGAAAAAATTATAAATTAGAGACTCATGAGCAGTGTGGCTGTATGTCATACTAGCAGCAAAAGCTCTGACTCACAGACCAATTTCAGCAATAAATACCTTCTGGGATTTGCTTCCCCAGATAAGCACCACTGTCTTTTTCATGCACAAACACACTGCAGTATTCCAGACTCTTATTTCCTATTTAACTTATTTGCCTTCTCCCAGCACATTGTAGGGTTTTTGTCATTTTCTATCTGTGAATTTCACAGAATGGAAAATCAGGCCAGGCATATGCAATACATGAAACTTATATGTCTTCCAAAATGGCTGATCAAACTTAATCAAGAACAATTCCAAACAGCAGAAGGTATCATTAAACTATATATTAGTTGTTTATAGTATGTACAGATGTTAACAACACCTGGAATTACATACTCTGAATTGTGAGGCAATTTCTGATGAACAAACACGGAATACAGTTGTGATATATTGTCCCTCTAAGCCTACTTATAAGTATGGACATCTGTTTCAATAAATCTCATTTTCCTCCTGACCTTTTTTCTACTCCTAGGGAAGTCAAGCTTGTTGGTTTTTAATTTGTCTCTGAAACATGAACTCAGTTTATTGGAGACAAAATAAATTTTGTGTTACAGAGATTATGTTTAGCTTTACAATTCTGGTATTGATTTATTCTTACAATTAATCATAGTGTGAAATAGGTTTGTTTTCTTAAGAAACTAGATCTCTTATTAGCATATACAGTTACTTTATGAGTTGTTGCCTGAAGTTAAACTGTTGCCTTGGTAGCAAAAAATAAAGATGCCCTCTAGGCCATAAGAACTAAAACTCTCAATAGTGCTGCATACTGTACATGGAAGTTTTGCTGTAAAATGCTGCTTGGATATATAGTCCAAAGCACAGAATAGCAAATGCTGACCTCCACAATCAGGCATTTGATTTTAACATCTGCATATCAGGAAGATTCAAGATACCAGCAGAAAGCTTAACACAAAAACCAGAATATATGAAATAGACATAAAAGATGTGATCAAACACAAACTTGAAAGTGCAACATGCATCCTGGTGCAATTTCTGAGTGTTTATAGTTCCAAGGATACTAAAACACACAGCTTCTCTACCTGTGCAAAGGGCGGTTTCTGCTAGCGACCTCTGCTGTGAATACTAGTTTGTGCTGTGCCATATGCTCATATAGTGATGTACAGCCCCACCCTTCATTGTCTTGATTAATGGACAGCATTCAAACGCAGTATGTACTGGTATGTTTAATAACATGTCTCATGTATCTATCTGGACTCTTACCCTGGATGCAGAAGTCTTTTCCTCTGTGGCCTAACAAGGGCACTCTTTGCTTGAGAAGTTAGGATGTCTCTGGGACATCCTCACTTTCCCCATTGCCAACATATAATGTATCACATTCACTGGCCCTTGGTTTCAGTGTGAAATTCCAATCAGGACATGGCACAGGACATAACCTTTTTGTATTTTTGGGCACTAGCCCAGCATATTTCACTAGGCCATATCACCAAAGAGCCAAACTGTGCAATAGTGACAGGATTTCCTAGTGTGTGTCCTGTACACATGGCATTGAAGGTATTACTGAACTGCAAAGAATAAAAAGCATATACACATAGGCTATCATAGCCATCCTGTTTGTATCACTTGTACCTCAGCTATTTTGTTCCTATTTTTATTTCTGTGAATTAAATAATCATCTTTATGTATGCTTAGAGAAGTGTATTCATTTATGCCTAGCTCATCTTTGCATCTTAGAACAAATACATAGTGACCTAAATATACAAATTTACACAAGATTTTATAGCAATCACAGTATGATACACAATCCTGAAAGCACTGATCCAGTTAAGAGAGATTTTAATTTAATCTACGGGGTGGGGACACACACACATACACACACACAATGTGCCTCTTCCATAAACTAAATTAAATTGCTTTTCATTGACTCAGGTTACCCTGGGCACTGCTCATTCTAATGCAGCCTTATTAAATTCAGGGAAGGCTGTTACAGTGAAGTCTGGGATAAACTAACTGTTCAGATGCCACACTTCAGATATGTATTTCAGATGCTGTCTTTGAAGAATGACATGTAACAGAAACAGTGTTTAACTTGCTCCAGGAACGCATCTTTAAAAAGTCTTCTGCTGTCTAATTACAGTAACTCAAAGACATTTAAGCTAGAAAGGTCATTAACATTTTAAGCATACACTACACCATGAACACTGCATATTTCCTGATATTCCTATAAAACCTAGTGCTCTCGGGAAACTGATGCTCACAGGGCTGTTAATGAATGAGAGAACCTTCACCTCTTGATCACTGGTCTGAATTCTGTCTAATCTGGAAGCAGCAAGAAACTGTCAGTGGCTGGTGATGTTTATGAATTAATTTGTTAATGTCTCTTGGTTTAGACTGTAGTAGGAAAATGTCCCAATTTAAAAAACTTTCCTTTCCTTCTTTGCCCTCTTATGCATGAACTCATCTCTGATGTGTCTGGATCAGCATGCCACTGAAAACTACAGACTCCCACAAGAGGGTGGGCAGACAAAATGTCAGCGGTCATACAGCTTCATCATGGCTTGATGAGGTGGCTGTATAGCTCACTGGGTATATAGAATGTGCAGTACAGACCTACTGACTCTAGGTCAGATTACAAACTCTTCTTTCTTCCCAAGGATACTACTATGTTCTGGGAAGAAAAATTCTCCTTTACAAATAAGATTGAGTTATGGAATTTGCTTTAAGGACAGTGCTGGGTGCTTCTAGAAAACATGAGGGCATTTCCCCCCCAATTACCTCAACTGCTTGTAATGAAGGTTTCCTCTAAACTATGTTTTTGGTAGAGCTGGTTATAAAATCCCTTTTCTTAAGACTTGGCAGATACACAACCCAGATACGGCCCCAACAGTGGTCTGTTTCCCTGGTATATGGGACTTTTAAATGCATTAGGGAAGAAACATCCTGGAAGCTTAACAGAGGTGGGACTCCTTACCTGGCAGACAGAGGCAAAGACTCTTTCTGCCTCCCTTTCCCTTTTCCTTCTTTACTTTTCATGCTGGACCTCTGTTAATTTAATGAAAAAAAAATAGTATGAATTAAAAAGGAAGAATGGTCTGAATCAGACAAGGTATCACCAGACGGTTTCCACGATTTTTCAACTGCACATCATTCTATCACTCTTCAGCCTGGTTAAAGCACTTTCCTAACATATTGAATGAATTTCATCACATCTAAGACAATGAACATCATTAGACCATTTATGAAGCAGCAGTATCTCGTGGTACAAAACTGAGTTTTTAATGGAAGTACATGGGCTACTCCATGTATTAGTATCTACCTCTTTCATTCTGAAGACAGAGATTTTCTTAGGCTGCATCTAAGAAATGCAGTGCAGATATGAGCCATGATGTTCTCAAAAGTCTTGTTATCATCCAGACTAGAGACAAGCTCAGAGCAGACCAGGATATCTACCCATTTCATATGCCAAGATTCTCATTTAGTAGAAATGAAGTCACCAAGAAGTGGAGAATCTAATGAATGCTTGAGTCTTGCCCAATATGCAGCTGGTATGTGGCTAGAGTGGGATACAGCAACTACGTGTATCTAGTTTACAAAAATGTACAGCAAGTGACTTTTTTAGTCTTATTCTGTTAACCTGGCAAAGTTTTAGTACTGAGACAGAAACTCTGACTCCACTGGAGACTATGATGAACCTCCCATTGACATAAGCAAAGATAGCACATTAATTTGGTAACAGAATAGTTTAGCTTCTCACTCTTTTGAAAGTTCTTCCTGGCTCATCCAAGGAGGCCGCAGTTTATACCACCCACAGCTCTGCAGTCCCCAGATTAAAATATTTTGCTTCTGTTTTCTGACATTATCTTACTGTACTTAAGTCTAGCAGCTGCCTAGACAGCTGAGAGACAAAATGGGAATAAGTGTGATAGAACGTAAAACATTGCTAAGTCTATATGACAACTTCTCTGATACTTACTGCTTCTCACCTTTTCTTAATTACAGGATCAGTATGAGAATCATTCCTCACCTGATTTTCCTGCACCTTCACTAGCCATATGCAACTGGTTACAAAAATCAGCTCACTAAGCAACTGTCTGTGGCCCAGCATCTAGACTGATTCCACAGGGATCTGGGATTAATATTAATGACTATTTTAATTAATTTGGTATAGGATGGAGATTATTGAGAACAAACTCAAGATGCCATAAGATGGGAAGGGATGATAAATTATTTAAGGATAAGGTTAAAGTGCATCACAGTGAACAAATGAATGAGAAAACCAGACGCAATCTGAGGGACAAAAATACGGGTAGTAGTTGACATCCCAATAGGAGATTGAGTATTCCAGCCTGCTTGGGGGCTCCTATTCCACAGGTTCAGTTCCTGAGAAACCAGAGGAAGTCCAGGTGTGTTAGGGAGGCTTCCTGGTCATTATCTGCCAGAGAATCATAGAATAGTTAGGGTTGCAAAGGACCTTAAGATCATCTAGTTCCAACCCCCCTGCCATGGGCAGGGACAATTCACACTAAACCATATCACCCAAGGCCTCGTCCAACCTGGCCTTGAACACTGCCAGGGATGGAGCATTCACAACCTCCCTGGACAACTCATTCCAGTGCCTCACCACCCTAACAGGAAAGAATTTCCTCCTTATATCCAATCTAAACTTCCCGTTTAAGTTTTAACTCATTACCCCTTGTCCTGTCACTACAGTCCCTAACGTAGAATCCCTCCCCAGCATCCCTATAGGCTCCCTTCAGATACTGGAAGGCTGCTATGAGGTCTCCACGCAGCCTTCTCTTCTCCAGGCTGAACAGCCCCAACTTTCTCAGCCTGTCTTCATACAGGAGGTGCTCCAGTCCCCTGATCATCCTCGTGGCCCTTCTCTGGACTTGTTCCAACAGTTCCATGTCCTTTTTATGTTGAGGACACCAGAACTGCACCCAATACTCCAAGTGAGGTCTCACAAGAGCAGAGTAGAGGGGCAGGATCACCTCCTTCAACCTGCTGGTCACGCTCCTTTTGATGCAGCCCAGGATACGGTTGGCTTTCTGGGCTGTGAGTGCACACTGAAGCCAGCTCATGTTCATTTTCTCATAGACCAACACCCCCAAGTCCTTCTCTGCAGGGCTGCTCTGAATCTCTTCTCTGCCCAACCTGTAGCTGTGCCTGGGATTGCTCCGACCCAGGTGTAGGACCTTGCACTTGGCAAGGTTAAACTTCATGAGGTTGGCATCAGCCCACCTCACAAGTGTGTCGAGGTCCCTCTGGATGGCATTCCTTCCCTCCAGGGTATCAACCGAACCACACAGCTTGGTGTCATCGGCAAACTTGTTGAGGGCGCACTCAATCCCACTGTCCATGTCAGTGACAAAGATGTTAAACAAGACCGGTCCCAACACCAATCCCTGAGGGACACCACTCATTACTGGTCTCCAGCTGGACATTGAGCCATTGACCACAACTCTTTGTGTGCGGCCATCCATCCAGTTCTTTATCCACCGAGTGGTCCATCCATCAAATTGATGTCTCTCCAATTTAGAGACAAGGATGTCATGTGGGACAGTGCAGAACGCTTTGCCCAAGTCCAGGTAGATGACTTCAACTGCTCTACCCCTGTCCATCAGTTCTGTAGCCCCATCATCTGAAAACAGTTCTGAATTTACAGATGCTGTTGTTATGTCTGCACCAGTGTACCATGTGTCTAAACAGGGCATGAATTTCAGCACTAGATCGTGACCATTTATATTGTTTAATTGTAAGCACACTGCCTGGCATGAATTTGGTCCATATCAATTAGTGCTCCCCCAGACAATGCCACAGCCTGTCTCAGCAGCTGAACAAGGTCCTTTTTATGTAAGTAACAAGGGCAAATTATAACAGGAGAAGACTTTAGTCATACCGTTAAAAGCTCTGACATATCTCTGCCAGACAACAGGCCATGTCATTATAATGTTTATTAGCACAAAGAGATGCTGCCCATATGTTTTCATTGTGGCACACCTTTGTGAGAAAACTGCATGTGCAAAAAATCTATCCATCTCCCCTCTTTTTAAAATAAAGCTCTTGTTGTCATGTCTTGGAAGGAGGACCAGATACTGTACAAAAAGACTGATAAATAAAACAGCTTTTGCTACTTCGGACTGTACAGACAATATCCTCACTATATGTGTCATAAGAGCTCTAGAAACTAGTTCTGCAGAAGCTAAGTAGTGCATGAAGCAGTATGGATGCTCCCCCAGCTAGGAGACATTATTCCAAACATAGATGTCTTTTCATATTTAATGACTCCTTATGAACACATATTTGTAGCTTCAATAATAATGATAGAGCTGTCTCTGCTGGATTTTGAAGCAATAAATTTCTGAAGTCTCAACCATAAAGGCGTATTGCTAAAGTGTGTTATTCCCAGGTGCATATGCACTGGGCATGTGTGAAGCACCACAGTGAAAAACATGTGAAATCCCTGGTTTAACTATAAGATGGTCAGAGTCTGGCATCCACTGTGTTATCCCCAGCTGAGGAACAAGCCTCCTGCCTTCCTGCCTCATGACCACAAAGCCAGACTGTTGACTGTCCTGTTCAAGTTTTTGACCTTCAGGTCTCTCTTCAGGCTGGGTTATTTGCAGTCTCTGGAGGAGGAGCGATGCAGTTTATGATGAGTTTACGAGGTTTTGGAGAGCTTCTGGTTGTACAATGTGCATTATTTTGGTGATGAGCTACTTTTGTAATGCAAAGTATGTCTAGAACATGCAATGGGCAGGATTTTTATGTTCCTTTTTACGCTAGTATGTTGAAAAGGTTTATTTTTCCTGTCAAATTTAGCTATGCTTTCAAAAGCACAAACACTTCTTGATAGGACAGCAGACATACTTGTAAGAAACTCCAAATTGTTTCCTTCGCCCACTCCCTATTTTAGATCATCTTTCACATGGGAACAGCTTCCCTCCTCCTCACTCACCTCCTCCTACAAAAAAATTCTGACATCTGTTCTTTACCTCTCTAGCAGCCACTCTCCCCTTAGCATTTGCCTTTTATTTTATGGTACTCGCTTGTGCACTTCAACTCTATGCTCTTTGGGGTATAAGCCATTGCATGTGTTGCACTTCTAACCCTTTGTAAAGCATCTTAAAAGTTATAGACATTTACAGCACAATATAAATGATAATGTAGTTAGACTGGAAAGGCAATTCCCTAGTTAACACCTCCCACATGTGGTGATTAAGTACTAGGCTCAAAAGCATACAGCAAACCCCGTGCAGATACATTTCTAGAAAGAGACTGCAAATTCCTAACTCCAGATGGTCTGCAGTTGGTGAATAATTACGTGGATTGTTTGGTGCTTCACTAATCAATCATGACAGCAACAAGGAGAAGAAGCATGTCTGGGTAAAGGAAAATGTCCTTTGGATAAACACCAAGTTATCATTTTGTGCATTTGATCTGCTCATCAAACATCATCTTTTTTTCCCCTTTTCTGGAGTTATGATGTTCTTAACTGTTTAAGAATAAATCAAAAAAAGCAGGTTTTTTTTTTTCCTATAGAATATACAAGAAGGGAGGCTCAACAGCATTGGCATGACTGCAACGCTGCATTGTATTTCACAGACTGCAAAAATTATAAATGACAGAGGACAGGGCAGAAAATTAATCTCCTAAATTAGGTTCTGGAGACCATGAAGCTTTCTTTAAGTATTTCTGTAATATTAGGACAAAACCTGCAATTCAGGATGTAGAAAACAAAGATTGGAAGGGAAAACACCAATCTCAAAACTCCTTCCTCACAGCATGAAAATAGTTTGATTTAAAAAAAAAAAAATAAAACAAGGAATTATCTAAATCAGATCATAAGCAACAAATGGTCAGCTTTAGCTGAAACATAGAGAACAAAGTCCAATATTATCTTGATTACATGCTGACCAGTTTAGTTTGATCATTCTGTGCACCAAAAAGAGGGAAGCAGTACAATTAAATACCTAAAAGATAGAAAGGATGGATGGAGATGCTGCAGGAGTCAGAAGTCGAACAGATGGTTTGGAGCTT